GTTTCAATGTAACTGATATATGATTTCAAGAGACAATTCATTATTGGTTATCAAACGGCAAGAACTATTACTAAGGACAATAACTAATGGATATGACGTTTAAGAGGTAATTTACTAAGGACAAGAACTATTACTAAAGACAAAAACCATTACTAAGGACAAGAACTAATATATATCCCTCTCTTCAATGTAACTACTGTATGATTTCAAGAGGTAGTCCACATAAATAGTTCCTAAAGTTGAAGTCAATGTTATTAACAAATTTACATAAACAGATGGATATTATGTTCGAAAATGATGACATTAATAACTCGCGGTCGAATGCACCTCTTAAAAATTAAAATAAACGACAAAAGACAAAAACAATAATAATTGAAATTGTCTATAGTGTATCAATGCTTTATAATCGTAAAACAAAATATGAAATACAATCATTTATAAATAAAATCCATACACAAACACATATAATTCGTCGTAGTAGTAGTAGTAATAATAATAATAATAATAATAATAATAATAATAATAATAACTAGAGAAGTGTCCCCCGCTTTGCAGGTGTCGGAAGCCGGCATTGTCGTTTTTTTGTTCATTTGGTGCCCTCTCTTTGTCAGTACAATGACTAGGTACGATGGCAACATCGGAGGGGCTTCGAGTGGACCTGGGAGCCGGAGGCTGAGATGCGGGAGCATTATCCAGATTTTTTCTCTGCATCAGACTTCAAGGAATAAGTCTAGTTCAAGTGGGGGAAGAGTTGTAACACCCCGACTTTCAGGTATTCTCAAATTCATCCATTGGTTTTAATTATGCCATTTTGGTCCTTGGATTGGAAGGAAGTGGCCATGGGAAGCCCTAGTGGCAAGTTTGTAATTTGGATGTGGGAGGAGTACGCTAAGCGTACATGTGAGTACACTAAGCGTACTAGGGCGTACCCTAGAACACTGGGCGTACACATATGTACGTTGGGCGTACTCATGTCCGAGTGAAACCCTAAATTTTAGGGTTTGTGGGCTATTTAAGCACCTTTATAGATCATTTACCCCCACCTTTCCAGCCTCCAAGCCCTTGAGTCGTTTTTGGCAAACCCTAACCCCATAAGAGTGTATTTTGAGCTAAAAGTGTGTCCTTTGTGTGCTTAAGGAAGAAGGAGTTGCATCAAGGAGCTTAGAAGTTGAAGCAAGCTTGTGGATCTTGGATCATCACCTTCTTGGGAAGCTCCAGAAGGTAAAAAGTCTTCACCTTGATGCTTTGTTTGCTTAGATCTCATTTTGCTAGCTTTTTGTGGTTCTTCTTGTCTCAAAAGTCCCATTTTTATGCATGATTGGTTTGGACGTTTTGGCCTGTGCTTTCAGACCCTAGGAAGGGTTCTAAACCATAAAAATGAGGCCCCTTTAGCTAGTTTGGCTCCATGCATCTTGTAGAAGGTCTTAATGGATTAAGAGCTTGTGTTAAGGACTTTATGGACGTGTAGAGTCATAAAGTTGGAAACTTTATGACTATAGTATGCCTCTCGACCTTGGATCTGAAGTGGGAGCTTAAGTGTTGAAGCCATTAAGCACTTAATAAAGAAAATGGAGTTGCGAGGTTACGCCCTGCGTACTCGGTCAGCTCCCCCGCAATCAGTCAATGCGAGGCTTGCGTACGCTGAGCGTACCTCCGGAGTACGCCCCACGTACTCGCATGGAACAACCAACTTTGAGTTAACTCGGTTGGGTTGACTTAGTGGATTTTAGGAGTTTGACCATGTTTGACTGTTGAGGGTATTTTGGGATTTTGATGGAATTTGCCACTTAGTGGATGTAGGCATTGAGTAGATAGCTGAGATTCGGAGTCGGGCCTTATTAGTTCTGTTCAACTGTGAGGTAAGTTTTCCTCACTATCTTGCTGATTATCAGCCCTACTACCCCCCACAGTACCCGTCTCATCCACCTCCGTCCGGCCCTCAATAGGCCATCTATGCCTCTCTCCAAGCATCGAGGACGATGCTATTTTTTAAGCTTGGGGAGGGGCATCCATCCATGCAAATGGATCCCGTTGCATGTAGGTTGCAGTTTTGTACATATTGCATTTTTTTTTTACTTTTTCATTTTATTTTTCTCTCGTTTTCTGCATTTTAAAATTTTCAAAACCAAAAAGATTTCCTTTATATCCTGATTTTAATATTTTTGCATCTCAATTTTTGCATTGCATAATTTTCCAAAAAAACAAACTTCCAAATATTTTATTCTATGTTTGTTTTGATCCAATCCAAGGCAACCTAATCTTCGAAAAACAGTTGAGTTGGTAAGTGAGTCGTATGCATTGAGATTAGACTTTCTCTTTTTATTAAAAATCTCAAATCAAGCTAAACACACACGAACACACCTCCCGAAGCTACACGTGCAAAACAGAAAATGAAAGGTTTTCAACACCGGAGCATAACGACATGTATAAGTTAACCTTTGGGACATGTGACCTATCTTATGAGTAGTAAGTGCTCAATTGGACCCAAAATGCCAAATTCAAGAAATCATAAAAAGAATATAAAATTTCAATGCACCGAGCCTTCCAACACTCTAAAAAGTCCTTTCTGCCTATTCCCTTCTAAATACCCTGCTTGGGGACATAGTTTCCAACTATACTTATGGGTCTTTGCGTGTTGACATCAGTCCCCCGATAAAAATGTCTTAGAAGCCCCTCACTGTAATAGACCGTGAGATGTACAACAATAGAAAAGTCAAGGAAATATAAAGAAATAAGCCTAGAATATAAGTTAAAAAGAATATTATGTGTTGTTATATATATATATATATATATATATATATATATATATATATATATATATATATATATATAT